TCTCATATTATCTATATAATATTATAATATACATATCTGCATTACAGCAGGTTGTGCACGTCTATCATGTTAAATCGTGTGTTCTGGTTTCAATTTGTTCTGCATTCAAAGTCTGCTAAACCACAGAACGGAGGATTCATTTTACATTAATGCATTATGAGACTTCAGGAGATCTTCTTCTGGTGTGAGACGTTACCTGCTCGCTCGCTTCAAAGGAAGCTACAGGAAGACAGAGAGAATAAAGCCGTCGCTGGCAGCAGCTCCTGCTCTGAATGAAGAGACGAGAGAAAACACGAGGAGGCCGTCTGTCTGTCCCGTGACCTGATTACAGGAGCCTGCACCGGTTTACTCTTTCACCAGCTTTTCTTTCTCTGTTTGCAGCATTTTAATCGTGTGATGTCATCAAACACAGCTCCTCCTGAACCCATACAACAATCAACACGTCTCAATAACCGTGATCAGATTCACACGCTACTGTCAGACTCCACACACTACAGCAGAGATCAAATATAAACACACACTAGGGCTGCACGATATATCGAAAAATATCGGAATATCGCAATATGCATATCGCAACGGCGTGCGATATCTGAATCATTTTAATAATAGGCTGCTTAAATCCAAACATTGCAAAAGGTCAAAGTTTTAGTTCGACGCATATAGCAGAGAATTGCTTGACGTTTAAAATAGTTTAGTGCAAGAAGTTGCAGAAAACAACTCTTTGCCGTCTCGTCTTGCTGTCTGACTCACACCTGAAGCGCGCGCACACAGAGAGACGCGTTTCAGACCGAGTTGATTCGTCTTTCGCATCTCCTCATGTTTGAACAGACACATACACACAGAATTATGTAAATAGTACCCGTCTCGACGATCATTCTCGTAAACGCAGTCGGTTATGTTTTAAATGAATGTAAACAGCTGAGAAAAAAATCGAATGTGTATCATTACACTGGATCCGTGCAGTCGGGTTTAAAGGGACAGCAGCCTATAAATACGTGCTGCTGAATATGTCACTAATGTTAACAAAACAACAAAACAGCTATAACAAAGATTAATCTAAATTTAATTCATACAGTGAACACTATGCAGTGTTATTTTATACTTAATTATTAAATTTCTGTACCTGAATACTACTGTTTATTTTATCTGTGCTTGTAAATTGTATATTTGTTATTTTTTCCCCCCTTTTTCTTTCTTTTTTTTACTGACTGTTCACTTGCCTTTAATCATGTTTGAACTTTCTCAGACTATATGAAGAAGTACTTAAAGTGTGTGGAAAGCAAAGTTACAACGATATCAAATTAGTGTCATTCATTTTTTTGTCATTCACACTGATGTTAAAATGACATTTTTTGATTTGTGACATTACTCTAAGTAATGCTAAAACACTGCTGGTCACTTTCAGAAGTTGTAGTGATTCTTTCTTTTCCAAGAAAGAATGTGAAACAAATTGGTTATATAATTTTCATTTTTAAATATTTTAAAATATAATTGAAATTGATTTTACACACTTTAAGCAATATCGTATCGCATATCGCATTTTTTAACAAGGTATCGCTTTTTTTTTTTCCAATATCGCACAGCCCTAACACACACACACACTCTCTCACACACTCACACACACACACACACACTCACACACTCACACACTCACACACTCTACTCATTCTGAGGATTTTCACATGTGAGCGTAATAGTGCAGTGATGAAGATGGAAATAGATAACTACTATCTGTTAACATGCAGTGCAACGGAGCGCTCTTTAAAAGGGAATCTCGACTGCAGTTCAGCTAGCGTTAGTTATGAGCAGTCTGTGTGTAAGCGGAGTTGAGGAGCGCTGTGAGACGTGAGGAGAGCATCATCATCATCATCATCATCCATCTGCCTCACAGACAAACAGACCAAACACAGCTGCAGCACTTCCTCCAAAACACTTCCCGCACAACAGGACCAGTGCCACACAGGAAAGCAGCTTTCCCCCTCCGCGTACGGATTCAGCGCAGTTCCTGTGCGTCTTCTATACCGCACGCTTACTATTCCTGAGCGTCTCCGTCAAAACACTTCCAGCGACGGCGTTCAGAAGTGCTTCGGTCATCAGGGATGATGCGGAATGAAAGACGGAAGCACCGTGAGATCACAGTCCTGAGGTCAAAGGGCAAACATTAACATCAGACCCAAACAGGAAGATGCTGCTTATGGTCAATGACCTTTGACCTGGATTTCAAAGTGAAGATGAGCTACTGTAAATAAAACACGCACACGATCATGAGACATTACACTGAACAACACATGACAAATAAACCAACGCCGATCGATTGAATACATTTTTAAGTCAAGTCACATTCATTTCTATAGCACTTTATACAATACAGACGGTTTCGGAGCAGGTTTACAAAAATAAACAGGATATCAATTCTGCTGTTTTTAAAAATTCAAAATGTAAAAATAGCACCATTCTGGCTACATTTGTGGCACAATACAAGTGGAAAAATTGCAATTAAATAAATAAACTAATCTGGTCTCACTTGATTAAAAATCTTCTTTACTTCTGCTCTGAGTGCATTACTGCAAAATAGCTGAAGCTTATCTGTGATGCATACGAAAAAGATGGATATCAATTACAGAAATTGAGAAAATAATAACTGTAAGCCGGGGAAAATGAGAGCAACACTGCAGACTTTGAGCAGAGTAAACCGAGCGCAACAGCAGTGAAGTCTACTGTGAGCTCTCTGTCAAACCCACGAAACAGCAAACTCTCTGCCATCAGCACAGAAATAACACGAGCCTGACAGCCAGAATAAAGACATGAGATATAACGTGAATTACTGAGCTGCTCGATGACAGCCTGAGACTTACAGAAGAGAGCACGAGAAACCTTCAGAACACACACACACATCCAGCGGAGCGCTTCTTGATGTACATTAATGCTCTTAATTCTCTTAAAGTTAAGAACATATTAGAACATTTGTCCAAAATGATCTGTAATAAAGTTCTCAAAGCACAAAAGCATCATCTGAACATCATTCCCGGAGCGTTTTTTTCAGAAATGCAACATTCTCTTTATGTTTGGAAAATTATGAAACCGTAATGTTCCGTTAACATTCACATAACCAAGAAAAAGTGTTTTTAAAACCTGGATGCTTTGAACTTTCAAAGACAATTCGGAAATAGTATTTTCACGGCTTGTTGTTAACGCTAACAAAGCGTTCTTGTATTTTTGTTAGCTGGGTTAGTACCATCTACACACTGACTTATGAGTACAGTTCACGAGCCAGCAGATCCAAGAACATGAACATCATAAACACATCATAAACACACGTGCGTCTCTCTGGGAAACACAAACAGAAAGTGAGAGAAGTCACAGTTCACACCACAGCCTTCAGTCGACATGAAACACACACACACTCACACACACTCACACACACTCACTCACACACACACACTCACACACTCACACACACACACACTCTCTCACACACTCTCACACACACACACACTCTCACACACTCACACACACACACACTCTCTCACACACTCTCACACACACACACACTCTCACACACTCACACACACACACACTCTCTCACACACTCTCACACACACACACACTCTCACACACTCACACACACACACACTCTCTCACACACTCTCACACACACACACACTCTCACACACTCACACACACACACACTCTCTCACACACTCTCACACACACACACACTCTCACACACTCACACACACACACACTCTCTCACACACTCTCACACACACACACACTCTCACACACTCACACACACACACACTCTCTCACACACTCTCACACACACACACACTCTCACACACTCACACACACACACACTCTCTCACACACTCTCACACACACACACACTCTCACACACTCACACACACACACACTCTCTCACACACTCTCACACACACACACACTCTCACACACTCACACACACACACACTCTCTCACACACTCTCACACACACACACACTCTCACACACTCACACACACACACACTCTCTCACACACTCTCACACACACACACACTCTCACACACTCACACACACACACACTCTCTCACACACTCTCACACACACACACACTCTCACACACTCACACACACACACACTCTCTCACACACTCTCACACACACACACACTCTCACACACTCACACACACACACACTCTCTCACACACTCTCACACACACACACACTCTCTCTCTCACACACACACACACACACACACACAGTCTGATCATAACAGAATCTAATGTAATAAAGCAGTGATGCAGTACATGAAATCATTTTAACCAAAACCTTTCTACAATTATATCGCTCAGGATCCATGACAATGTTTTTTTACAGTTGGATAATCAAAGGAAGAGGTTTTATACAGCAGGTCTCTACAGTATGAGAGCTGAACACAGCATGCAGTAATAAGCGTGTTCATGATGCTGATCGACCAGAAACAACATGGAGCCAAAAGACTCAAATGTCTTGATTTCCTTTCCTTTCTAGGCTTTCAAAGCTCTAAACCAGCCTGAGACAGCAAGCAGGTTTGCTCATGGAGTCTGTCTATATTCACCACTGCACTGCACTGTATTTGATTGCCTGTTTTTTATTAGTGTCATTTTCCATTGCATCGCCTTCATGCTCGTGTGTGTGTGTGTGTGTGTGTGTGTGTGTGTGTGTACTCTTTCTGCTCTGGAAGCTCCAGTCATCACAAACATAATAAAAGCATTGGATCACCGCGAGGCACATGTGATGATGTGATGTGATTCTTCTGAGGCTCAATCACATCTGAATACTGATATCTGATCGATATGAATCTGCTTTCAGGAGACATGAAGCTCATTTCTCGGATTATATGCTGGAGATAAATCATGCATTCAGCGACTGGAAACTGGCATAACTCAGCTTCACACCTGAACTCCAGAGCTTTCAGTTTCCAGCCGCGACTCCGCCACAGCACAGCCTGAAGCGCGCTTACCTTCGAGACACATGATGAAGATGATGGCCAGCAGACCGTCGGATCTTCGTCTTCCGGTGCGGAGCGCGGAACTCCTGTCGGTTTCGGTCCCCGGTGATCCGTCCATGTCTTCCGCGGGACGCGCAGGTGCGCCGCAGGTCAAACGCGTCCTCAAAGAGCGATTATTAGCTAGCGGAGCTGAAGCGTCGCGGTGAGAGCTCGGTGGCGGTAGAGGAGTCGCCGGTAAGGTGCGGTGATCGCTGTATTCCGGTAGGAGTGTCGGCGCAGCTCAGCGGATCGTCTGTAGTCCGTCGGAAGCAGCGGGTCACTTTACTCGGTCCCGGGTTCGCCCGCTTCTCTCTCTCTCTCTCCGGTGCTTCCGGTTTCAGCGCTCCGCTCACTCCGGGAAAACGCGTCCAATGCTGCATCCCGCTGGCAGAACCGCGAAACACCGAGAGACACTTCACCGGAACCCAGCTAAGAATGAACGCCCTGTGTCATAAACAGTGACGTGTAAAACTAGTCTTGCATATTTAGTTCACCCCAAACGGGCGAGTAATATTTGCTCTGCCACGTGACTTCTGCTGCTTGACTTCACGGAGTAAGGATCATTAGGAAATTCATATTAACCACATAAGAGGTGCAGATTTTGCAATTAAAAAACCTTACAATAAGGTTCCATTAGTTAATGTGTTACTAACATGAGCAAACAATGAACAATACATGTATTACTGTAACGTCGGGGAGCGTGACAACAGAGTTTAGGATCCAAGCGCAGGCTTTGTTCCAAGAGTGGTCAAAACAGGCAGAGTCACACAACAGCACACAGGTGTAATCAAGAGTAACTCAAACAAGCCATGGTCAGGGCACGCAACAAACGATCAAAAACAAGGCAAACAGTCCGAGCGCAAAAACAAGGCAAGGCAAGAAGCAGGAGAACACAATGACAAAACAGTCTATACAATACTGAGCAACGAGTGTGTGTAGAACCAGGCTTTAAAGGGGTCATATGATGCGATTTCAATTGTTCCTTTCTCTTTGGAGTGTTACAAGCTCTTGGTGCATAAAGAAGATCTGTAAAGTTGCAAAGACTAAAGTCTCAAACCCAAAGAGATATTCTTTATAAAAGTTAAGAGTGAACCACGCCTACCTAAAACGGCTCGTTCTAAAACGCCCCCACATGTCTACGTCACGATGTGGGAAGATTTGCATAACGCCGCCCAAATGTTCACGCAAAGAAAGAAGGCGTAACTTTTATTCTCGCTGTAGTATTGTTGCCGCCGCCGCCATGTCGTGAAGACGCTGTGCTTCGTTGTGAAAGCGAAACTACTTTGTTTGGTCTTCCAAAAGAGGACGATATCCGCTTCGTCATGCCTAGAGCTGATCCGTGCTGGTCGCTGAGGAAATACAACAGTATGGTGAGGGGCGTAACATTTCCGTCTCACGCTTGAGGTATTCGGCCAATCACAACGCACTGGATAGCTGGCCAATCAGAGCACACCTCGCTTTTCAGAACGATGAGCTTTGTAAAAATCGATGCGTTTCAGAAAGGCGGGGCATAGAGGAGAAACAATAATGTACAGTATGTGGAAAATAATGTTTTTTTAACTTTAAACCGCATAAACACATTTCATTACACCAAATACACAAAATAATGTTCTTTTTAGCAGCATCATATGACCCCTTTAAATAGGGTGAGGCTGATGAGGAAACAAGACACAGGTGAACGCAATCACCGGCAAAGGATTATGGGAAATGTAGTCTGTGATAGAGTGGCACGAGTCAGAGGTGGAGTTCATAGACAATTACAGTATTTATTAATCCTTGTTAATGTTAGCTCATACAGTAATACAGTCGTTCATTGTTAGTTCATGAGTACATTAACTAATGTTAACAAGCACAGCTTTTGATTTTAATAATGCATTAGACTAGTAAACGCTGACATTATTTAACATTAAGATTAATAAATGCTGTAGAAGTATTGTTCATGCTTAGTTCATGTTAACTAAAGTAGTAACTAATGAACCTTATTGTAAAGTGTTGCCAACAAAAAAAATAATAATAATAGACTGCAGCAATTAACATTTAGTCAGAACCTCTAGTAAATGACATGCTGTTTTGTTTAGTTGTCTGTTCAGAATCGTGGGAATGCTAAATATAATAATACCTTTTCTTGTCTAATTGACCGGTTTTATTATTATTATTATTATCATTATTATTTTCTTATCTATTACTTTTAATTGGCTGAGAAATCAAATACACTGCTGGACAATAACCAATAATTATAATACCGGCCTGATTAATTATCAAACCACAGAACTTACTGTTGGTCTCTGCTTCTCTTCATTCCAGTCTGTCACTGAACAGCTTATAATATCACTCAGTTCAGTGTTGAAAATTTAGCCGGGCAAAATAGATGCTGCTGAAATAATAAACATGTGACCCTGGACCACAAAACCAGTCTTAAGTGTCAATTTTTCAAAACTGAGATTTATATGAAAGCTGAATAATATATCCATAGATGGTAATAATAATCTTTCCATTGATGTATGGTTTGTTAGGATAGGACAATATTTGGCTGAGATACAACTATTTGAAAATCTGGAATCTGAGGGTGCAAAAAAATCTAAATATTGAGAAAATCATCTTTAAAGTTGTCCAAATGAAGTTCTTAGCAATGCATATTACTAATCAAAAATTAAGTTTTGATATATTTACGGTAGGACATTTACTAAATATCTTCATGGAACATGATCTTTACTTAATATCCTAATGATTTTTGGCATAAAAGATAAATGTATAATTTTGACCCATACAATGTATTGTTGGCTATTGCTACAAATATACCCCAGCGACTTAACACTGCTTTTGTGCTGCAGGGACACATATAAATCAAGGGCCGTAACCATGCCATGAACATTGGGGGACCCGAGAGCAGTTCTTATTCTGCATTTTAATCACAGTTCAAACAAAGATGCTACATCACATGAACATTAAAACAATCTGACCAACATTTCTCTGTGTACAAAACAAGTGAAGGAATCTTCCTCAGAAGAGACAAAAACAGCAGCTCACTGCAGTGTCTGACTCATATTATAATCACGTCCAGAAGCTTTAGGTGAAATGTGGATGAACTCATGAACCTGCTGCTTGACCTCTTCATATTTAAGAAGAGAACTATAGTTTCCAAAGTCAGACGTCGCTTGTTATGAGCGTGTAGAGTTTAGTAGAGACGCTATGACATGTTCCTGCCAATATCAGAGACTACTACATTATCTCATCAGAACAGATTTGAGGGGAAAAAAAAGTCACATGTGAGTGTGTGCGTGTGAGTGAGTGTGTGAGTGTGTGCGTGTGTGAGTGAGTGTGTGAGTGTGTGTGCGTGTCTGTGTGTGTGTGCGTGTGTGAGTGAGTGAGTGTGTGCGTGTGTGAGTGAGTGTGTGAGCGTGTGCGCGTGTGTGAGTGAGTGTGTGTGTGTGTGCGTGAGTGAGACACACACACACACTCAATATACACATACACTCACTCACACACACACACACTCAATATACTGCACAACACACAAACACACTCAATATACAGCACAACACACACATACACACACTCAATATACTGCACAACACACACACACACACACTCAATATACTGCACAACACACACACATCAGCTCTGCTGGATCCAGTGTGTTCATCATGTACAGGATCATGTGAGCACCATCACTGCTTTAAAGGAACAGTCCACCCAAAAATCAACCAGACAGTTTGGTTCCCATTGACTTTCTGAAATGACAGCGGAAGTCAATGGGAACCAAAACAGTTCGGTTCCCAGCATTCTTCAAAATATATTTTTTTATGTTCCACAGAAGAAGGAAAGTCATACAGGTTTGTAATGAGTAAATAACGACCGGATTATCATGTTTGGGTGAACGAACCCTTTAACACAGGGGTGTCAAACTCAATTACTGGAGGGCCGGAGCCCTGCAGAGTTTTGTTCCAACCCTGCTCCAACACACATACCATGTAGTTTTCAAATAAGCCTGAAGGACTTGATTAGTTGGATCAGGTGTGTTTAATTAGGGTTGAATCTAAACTCTGCAGGGCTCTGGCCCTCCAGGAATTGAGTTTGACACCCCAGCTTTAACACGACACACCAGCTCACGCCACTAAAATCACCTCATCACTGTATGTGCCGACGGCCGACCAGGTCTTCTGACATCTTGCCCTCTACAGCCCTGAATGTCAGCGGAGACCACGTCAACTAGATGCGCCCCGGAGACA